TAAGAGCACCACCTGTGCACATTCACCATGTTCCCTTTTAAAAGGGCCCTGCCCAGCTCCCATACCTCTCTCTCTTTCTCTACCTTTCTCCCTCTCTCTTTCCCTTTCTCCCTCCCCTCCTTTCTCTCCCTCCCTCCATCTTTTCTTTCTCCTCTCTCCTGCTGCTCCTGTCTCCAGAAACTGGTCCTCCCTCTTCTCTTTCCCCTTTTTATGGCCCCTATCTCTAATTAAAAAACAAAAAACAAAACCTCTGCTTGAATCCTATCACATCGAATCTTCCTCTTGTGTGCTGCTTTTCTGAAATTACAACACATACCATAAGAGGAGTGTGAGTAATAAAGTTCAGAATCTTATATAGTGGCTACAATATGAGTATTTACCCAAAAAGCTTTCTAGTTTTCTCCATGTTTGAAATTTTCATACAAAAATGCTAGAGAAAAATTAATACTACATGTAATAATAAACTATAGAAGAACTAACAGAGAATATTGGTAAATATTTAGCAGAAGCTAGGGTGAAGAAAATACCTAAATATAAAAATGAGTAAAATATATATTTGTATGTCCAAATAACAAAATGGAAAATGAATAAACTATACAAATAAGCTCCAAAGGAAAAACATACTTAAATATCTTTACTATTGATAAAACAACAAAGTTAACAAATGAAATATGTTCTATATATCAAATTAGAAAATAAAATTTTCCTTACAGTTGATTTGCCAGTTCACGGTCACGAATGCACCACATGAGCCAAGAGGCAAAATCAGTGCACTTCTCAAAGGTGCTCACATCCACATTTAGCAGGGTTCAAAAGTTATGTGGCCTGAGGCCCAGAAAACAAGCCATTTCAAAATATACACTTACATATATCCACAAGACAACTAGAAATCTTCAAAATTAGATTGTTTGAATGAATTGTATCATTAACATAGCCTAGGATAAAGCCATAAAAAACCTCTTTATCCAAGAAAACATGCATTAGAATGCTGTCAACATTTTACAAAGGAGGTAGTCATATAATTCAATGGCTGTGATGGAGAGAAAAAAAATAAAAACTCGTATCTATAAAAATAAAACTGGCAGATGTACAATGAAATGGTTTTATACTTTTATCTTACAATGGTATGTATTATTTTGTAATTGAAAAGCTTTAAGTTCCAAAAAGTTATTTTGAAAATAAGATATTCTTGCTTAAAAAGTAATACCATGTTCAATTAATTAAAAGATAGCAAATTTGTTTTTCTTGTTATGGTAACTAGACTAATAAAACACATACTAGTTCCACCTGTGGGCATCTACATGTGCAGAATTTTTTTGATTTGTTTATTTTATGTGTATTAGTGTTTTGCCTCATGTATTTTGGATTCCTAGAACTGGAGCTACCATGTGTGTGCTGGGAAACAAACCCAGGTCCTCTGAAAGAGCAACAGATGCTCTTAACCCCAGAGCCATCTCTACAGCCATCAGAATATCATCTTAATCAATATCTGAAACACATTCTCACAGAGCCTTTCAGCTACCTGATCCATTTTATTGACAGCAACAGCAAGCTGTGTCACTCCAAGAGATCGTACTAAAAGGCCATGCTCTCGAGTCTGTCCTCCAGTCTCAAATCCAGCTTCAAACTCTCCTCTGCTGGCATCAACAACTAAAACAGCTACATCCGCCTGAGGAAGGAGAGAGAATCAAGACTAGAAATAATGCCAAGGACAGGGTACTCAATTAACCACTTGGTCAGATTTAAAGGCAGGCTAAAACATGACCCCAAACTGAAACCAAACACCAAGCAAATGGGAGACTGCTTGCTATGGAACACTGTATCACAAAGTTCTCTGCCCTTACCTTGTGACTTAGACATTTCTCCTTTCATACACAAATCCATATGAAAAAGTCCATGTTCCCTGTCAGCCTTCTGGTTGCCATGACTCTTGGGTTAACCACTCTCTATCCAATTCTACTTCCAATTTGGGGAAGTAGTTTACAAAATCTTGCAAAAAACAAAACAAACAAACAAACAAAAACTATGCCCCATCACTACTCTTCCTGATCCTTTATCATCAATTATTTTTGTCAATGTGTTGTCTGGATATTTTTCAAAGAATACTGCTCATTTTCCCTTAGACAGATTTTGCTTAGAGTTGTAACTATCCTCAGAGATACTCAGGCTAGAGTGACTCTTGGTAGAGTCACAATAGGTTTTTAGTTGTTTGCTAGGTTTTACTGCTGTTTTCTGTACTGTCTGGTTTATAGAGAATTTCACAAAGATTATCATAAGATCCTTACCATACATAATGGGAGATGAAATGGTCATAAAGTCTAGATTCTACACATAACACCACATTCTTTACAGAGCTTTATCATGTAAAATACACCTAGCACCCATAAGCTCAGCATGGTGGCATACATGTGGAAGGTAGAAACACAGCTCATAGTTTGAGGTCACATTGTGAGTCTGGGCTATATAGAAACTTCCAGGTTAGTTTGAACTCACAGCAAGTTTCAGTCTTAAAAAGCCAAAACAACAACAAAAGTAGCATTTGGGCCCTCTGTCTGTTGGGACAACTTAGACTATTATCTTTTACTTACTCAAATACTCTTTTGATCTTAATTCTACTTTAAAGTGTGCATTATCATGCTAGACTTTAATTTTAGCAATAAATGGGGGGTGAGCAAGAAATATACACTTGCACAGCACAATTTTAACACCAAAATTCCTATCTGCTAACCTCTGCAGCTGTAACATGGCAGGAAGCTTAGATGACACACATAAGCAGGTCACAAAAAATATATCTCGTTTTTTGTTTGTTTGTTTGTTTTCTAACCTCTTAAAGTAAAACTTTCAATTTTAACCCCATAGTTGCAAGTTGGATGGCTGTCAAGGAATGAAGGCACAATCAGTGTGGCACACTAGGATAAGACAGACAAGTAATCAGGGCAGCACACTCAGCTAAGACAGACAATCAGTACAGCACACTCAGCTAACACAGCAGGTACCTGGGCTGCTCCAGTGATCATGTTAGGAATGAAATCCTTATGGCCTGGAGCATCCATTAATGTAATAACTTTGGTTGTGGTTTCAAACTTTGTCATGCCAACATCCATTGTTACTCCCCTTAAACAAAACATAAAATGGTTATAACTTACTATATAAATAGTCAGTGATGTGGCCTAAACCTCATAATAACAGGCTAAATGGCAACCTAAATTCTTCATAATAATGGAATCTCTTCTACATATTTATTTTATATACTGAAGCAAAGGATTGAAATATCAGCTATAACCTATTATTCCTGTATACTGTGAAACCAAGGTTGTATATATAGCAAACTCAATCAAAATGATAGGTATTGCCCATTTACTTAATGTTTTGCAAGAAATTATAATATATAAAAGAATAATAATAAATAAAAGCTATATACACATCTCTAAATGAGAAAAATAAATACATATGAAGAAAAGATAATGAGAAATGATTAGGAGCACTGGCTGCTCTTCCAGAGGTCCTGAGTTCAATTCCCAG